CACCGCAGAATTAATTACATGACCCGTAACTACCCAGCAGACACTTTGGTAGATGGTGGGTCTGAGAAATGAGATACTGAATCAGACAAGAGTTATTTTGTAACTATTTGGTTTTAACTGTAGACACCCGTAGGAAATCACAGTGAATTCCTCAGTTAACCCCCAGGGTGGACCCCAGAGCCGGATGCTCTCCCTCTGGGGCTGGGTCTGCTTGGCTCGCATGGAAGTGCCAGCACGACCATGAGGTCATTTCACACTGTGCAAACCTGGAGAATTCCTCACCTGTGCGCTGTGACAGTCAAATAACACTAAATTCCACGCTGGGAAATTTTCCCAAATCCCCAATAATTTCTTCCTCTAATACCTTCATGATTCCTCAAGTCCCTGGCACAACCCCTGCCCAAACAACTCTCTCCGAGGCTGCTCTGTCCTCACCACAGCAGTAAGGGCAGGCCCCAAGCCTTTAGAAACAGGATTGCTTTTTCGTATTCAAAAAGAAACTCTGCTCAATATCAATAAGGCACAGCAAAACAACACAAACTGCTCATGAAACACTAATCTGCAGATGTTTGGGATGCTTCCCAAGGACCTTGAACCTTGCCAACTTCCTACCTATTTCCGTAACTGACATGGAATGTTATGTTTAAACAATTCTTTTCACTCCCCTCATTTTGCAGTGGTTGTTGTTTGTATTTTATTTTTCCATGGAGAGATAGATAAAAAAAGCTTATATAAATCCATACACATATATCTATCTATAACTGGTTGTGTTTCTTGTGTTTCCTGAACAGACTCAAGTATTTCAGCCTTTCAGCTGTGATAAAACAACAAATGCTCAAACTCTGAACCAAGGAGACCCACAGGCCCTGTACATGTCTGAGCCCTGAGCCTGTCATGAGCCACTCACCCTCAAACCTCACAGTAAGGACCATTCTCCCTTTTATTCTGCTTTTCTTCTCTCTCTTCCCATGATCAGCACTCGAAGCTTCTCCATTTGTTCCTAGTGCTGGCTATTATTAACCCAGAGGCTTTCAACTGTAGCATTAACTGTTTCACTCACTTTTCTTCCATGGCCCAATAGAAGAGCTTGCTCTGATGCAGAAAACTAACTCCAGGCAGGAAACATGACAGAATCACGTTCCTCTCTCTCTCTCCTTGTTTAATGTTAATTGAAAACTCCAACATTTAGTGCAGGGGGTGAACATCAAGCAAACCAAAGCTGTTGTTGAGACTAAACAACAAGGAGGTTCAAGAATTGCAGGATGCAGAAGAAAAAAGATGGGAATTGTACAAGCCCTCGGCAAAGGCCACCCCAAGTACTGCCAAGCTCAGAGGGCTGGGTTGGATTTTCTCTGACAGCTCTATCTGCCCTGGCTGAACAGATTAACCCTGAGGCTGAGGTTACTATCACTCGTTACCAGATGCATGTCACAAATCTGAAATATTATCAGTCTCCACGTAGCCATACACATGGTGTCTCTTGGTAGAAGAGACATTGGCAGATGGATTTACAACAGCCCCTTCCAGAACCCAGAGCACTCTTGGTCTTTGTCGAGCTAATCAGTAAAATCAGATTATTTTGATACTTTTGGCCAATTGCAGTGAGTTCTTAGGATCTTGTTCCCTATCTGCATTAAAATTCCTGCTAAATGGGACAACTCTGTCAAACTTTGTCTTAGGACACACAGAAAATGTTAAACCACGAGCGAGAGTGACAGGGGACCCGCCTCAGTTTGGACTGCCAAACAATCTCGGGAGTTTGGGAGAGGGTTGGGCCGAACATGCAGCGTGACAGGACCCTCAGCAAAGAAAACACCCACTAACAGGATGTAAACACATAGCGAAACTGTTCCTTACCTGATAGATCATGACTTTAAAGTTCCTGCGTTTCAAGAGCTCCGCTTCGTTGGCCTCCAGCTTCTTGATCTGCCCGGCTTGCTTCTCCAGGTTCTGCCGCACTGTTTTCACGTTGACGCTCACCTTGCGCACCTTCTCCAGCATTTTGTTGACAGTGTTGCTGGTGGTGGTGTGTGCCTTGGTCAGCTTGGTCAGCTCTCCCTGGATGCTGGTCACTGCGCTATCCATCTCTTGCTGTCTCTCCTCCAGCTGTGTTTGGGTCAGCTGGATCTGATCCACAGCTCCGATGATCTTGTCCAGAAGGGTCAGCACCATCACACCGTTGATCTGGTCTGGTTTGATGGGCTCCTCGGGCGCTTGCTCCTCCGAGGTCTCAGAAACAGTGGGTGGCTCGATGATTTGCAAGGTGGTGTCCTCCATGGTCGCTCGGGAGTCCTGGCTCACGGAGCCCGGAGGAGCTGTCACTGCAGGGAGAGAGCAGGGAAAACTGAGCCCGAGCCTCAGCTAAACTCCGCACTGGGAGACACGCCAGGAATGGGGAGCGCAGTGAGTGAGTGTCTGTGCTGAAATTCAAATGGCACAGCTCCGCACAGCCGTCCAGTGGAACTGCCCTGCAAAATTTTCCAGGCTTGCAGGTCATTGGCTGACTCCACCTCAGCTATAGAAAAGGAGCCGCTGCCAAATGCCTGCTGACCCACCCTTTTGAAATGATTAAAATAGTTGGAGGGGAGACGATGGCTCTGCATGCAAACACAAGCACAGCTCAGCCAGGAATGCAAAGCTCTGGAACTGCAGCCGCCCCTTCTTTACCCTCAGTCTAAAGGCACTGAAGTTACAAGAGGAAAAAACAAAATCCTTTAGTAAACGGCTCGGGAAGCTGCTGGGAAGAGAGTGGGAAGCAAGCAGCCCCATCTGGGCACAGCTGTGTGCACTGAAGGCTGGTTTAAACAACAGCACACGCTGAAGTTCAGCTGCAAGTTCAGACCTTTTGCCAATATTCAGGTTTGGGTTTTTTTTCCAGGACTATGAGAGCCCGATTTATTTTGAAGAAATGCTCCAATTTGAAATTCAGTAGTTACAGCATGAAAACGTCTGTGTCTTAGGAATGCCCATGTATGCGAATGTACAAGAGGAACACATTGTATATGCAGGGTGCAACACAACTCCACACAGATTTAACACAGAGAAGAGTAATTCGCTGCTGAAGTGAGGCAGCTGGGCACTCCCCCTAAAGGAGCTCTCCCAGCTCCGCAATCCTCGAGCCTTCTATAGATCCAGTCACTAGACTTCAAATGTGGGACACACTGCAGTGTACACTGCTTGTAAGCAAAGCCCAAATCTGGTGGGTTACTTGTAGATTTAAAGGTAAAAACCCTAAATTATTCAAAACAGGGAGACACGTGGGAGGCACCACCACAGACTTTGCAACAACCCAGCTGAAACATGCCAAGAATGTGGAGAAGGAAAATTCAGATCTTGAGAGTGACCCTGGGCCAGGCCTGGGCCAGACCCTTCACTGTTTCTGGGTTGGGAACCAAGTGCCCATGGACAGAGCTGCCACTTGGGAAGGCTGTGGGCACACTGGAATGTGGCAGCTTCCCTCATTCTATAGTTTTGACAACTGTTATTGATCCTCAGCACCTCCTGCCAGGTCAAGTCTGCTCTCGGCCTTTGCCACTGGCTGGCAAATACCAGGAATTCCCTGGGCTCCTCCCAGCTCAGCTGCCTGAGGTCAGACTGGGGGAGATGATCCATCCTAGCTACATGCTGGGGAACCCGGTCCCACAGATGCAGAGGAACATTGTTCATTCACAATGATCCCAGCAGTCAGCACTTTCCCTGCCATGTCCCTGCCCCGTGACTGCTCACTGTCCCCACTGACCCGGGCCTGATGGCTCTGGGATCACAGAATTGTATCCTGTGCCCCCACAACAGTCATTGTGTCACAGAGTGAAAGCAGGCTGCTTTCTGTACACTGTTCTTTCCTGGAGGGAACTTTTTCCAGAGCATTATTTCCAGTGTTTGCTGCTGCTGAGAGTTCCATGAAAAAAGCCCTCACTGTAGGCAGCCAGTGCAAGGCCCCAGAGCTGCTTTTTCCCCGGGGTCACCTGCTCCAGGGTGGGCTTCCACAGATAAATGTGTAGGGATTCAGGTATAGGACAGGATTCATGCAGGGCAGAGCTCCTTGAATTTGTCTTCAGAAATTCTGAGTTTCTGAATTCAGCCTTTAAAGTGTTATGTGAAGACTCATCAGGGTCATAATACAAATTCTACATTAATTCATTAACTAATTGAGCATTTGATCAAAGCTGAAGCTTTCAGCGTTCAGTTGTGGAGCAAAGCTGATATTTAAAGTCTTTGACATCCATTCCATGTGTGACTCCAATGAATCTCTGTGCCTTTGGATGTCCATTTGGGAATAATAAAAATACCCCTGCCTTGGTAGGTCAGTCTGGATAAAGCCAGATAATCTCACAGGATAGGGATGTCCATCTATTCCTGGGGCTCAGGGGGCTGAAGTGCCCCACTCGGTGCCTCTGTGCCCAAAGCAGTTCCCTGGGCTGGAATTCCCATGGGCTGGAACACCACGAGTTATTTTCTATGTCTGGATTAACTTCAGTTCAGTCCCTTTTCTGCTGGAGACACACTAGGAACAGCCAATGGCCGGGAATTTGCAGCCTCCCCTCTGGAGCCTCAGTCTGGAGTCGATCTCTTCCAGTGGGAAAGAGGGCTGGATCTGGGGCTGTCACTGCCCCGGGCCGTACACGGAGCCGCATCCCCGGCACCACCGACACCAGGCCGGGCCGGCGGGGAGAGGCCGCGGCCTCGCGCCTACGACACGCTCCCCGTGACGTCAGCGCTGCGTCACGGCTCCACTCATGACGTCACCGACAGCGGCGCGGGGGCCTACCATCACTTCCGGGGCGGGGCCGTGCTCGGTCGCCAGGAGACGTGCGCGTGACACCGCCCCGCGCGGACGGTGACGCCGGAACGGGAGCCGGCTCGGGTCAGGCGGCGGCGGAGACAACAACAACAGCAGCGGCAGCGGCGGCAGGTAATGGCGGGGAACGGAACAGAACGGAACGAGGCTGGATGTGATGGGGACGGGATAGGATAGGGTGGGAACGCTGCGCCGGGCCGGGCTGGGGTGGGGTCCAGGTGCAGCCGGGCTGTGAGGGGGCGGCGGAGGCGGGAAGGCCTCGGTCCCTGCCCCCGGCCCGGTTCTCACGGCCCTTCTCCGCAGAGGCCGCGGCGGGAGCGGCGCCGCCATGGGGGAGCTGTTCCGCAGCGAGGAGATGACCCTGGCCCAGCTCTTTCTGCAGTCCGAGGCCGCGTACTGCTGTGTCAGCGAGCTGGGCGAGCTGGGCAAGGTCCAGTTCCGCGACGTGAGTGTTCCCTGCGTGGCCCGCGGTACCGGGACGATCGTGGGATCGGGAGCCCCGGCCGGCCCCGCCCCCGTACCCGCCGCGGAGCGGGGCCGGTGGGGCCCGGCCCAGCCGCACCGGCCCCGGGGGCGGGGGTTTGCTGAGTGCCGTGTCTCTCCCTGCAGCTGAACCCCGACGTGAACGTATTCCACCGTAAATTCGTCAATGAAGTCCGGAGGTGCGAGGAGATGGACCGAAAGCTCCGTACGTTCCCACTGGGGTTGATGTGGCTCTGACCCTGCAGCTTTTGCTTAAAAAAAATCTACAGTCAAGGGAGGCTGAAGCTGCAGGGCAGCGTTTGGGACAGAGCAGAGGATTGAGGGCATAGGCAGGGCTTGCTGCCTCCAGGGATTCATTCCCCCCGCAAAAGATAACTCTGGCCAAGTCAGACAATCTTGGAATAGGAGATGAAGGAATCAGCTGCTGCTGGGGCCAGGTGCAGGTTGGGGTAACTGTTTGACGCTGAAATGTCTGTAATCAACACTTCTAATGCTGTCTCGGCAGGGTTTGTGGAGAAGGAGATTAAAAAGGCAAATATTCCTATCATGGACACCGGCGAAAATCCAGAGGTGCCTTTTCCACGTGACATGATTGACCTGGAGGTAATGATGTGTTAAGACTTGAACTAGTATTTGACTCTGGATGGAAACAGGGAAAATTATCTCTGTTGGCCAATGCTCGTAGAATTTAGTGGCAGGGGGCATTAGCTCAATCTTCAGTCGTCCCTGCAGGCAGCTCTGCCAGCTCACATTGGGCTGATGGTGTTTGTCCAAGTACAGAAGTGAGAATGAGTACTCGAAAGGAATTTCACCACTGCAAAGCCAAAAACTGCTGGAACCGCATGATTTATGGTGGTGGGTCATAAAAGTTTATCACGATTTTATTTATTTGAAGAAATTGTATAAATCCATTCCATAAAAATCTGGCTGAGTGTGAGAAGTCTGCAGTTGCCTGCAGATGTGGCAGATCTGTATCTGTGTCACAGCAGGCTGGAGATGCACCTGTAAACCATGCAAATTGGGAGGGGATGTGAAGTATCTCACTTGCCTCTGTATGTTGACAGACTGAACAGCACTTAATTATGGAATTGCTTTAAGTCCTTTTTCTTTCTTCTTTTCACATCTTCCAGGCAAACTTTGAGAAAATTGAAAATGAGCTTAAAGAAATCAACACCAACCAGGAGGCTCTGAAGAGAAACTTCTTGGAGCTGACAGAATTAAAATTTATACTGCGTAAAACTCAGCAGTTTTTTGATGAGGTCAGAATACCGGTGGGGTTTAATACTTGGGGAGCTGGTTCTTCTCATGGAAATTACCATTTTTATTCTCGAATATATTTTAGTTGCTGTTTTGGACAGCAGGGTCATTTTATGCTTCGTTTGAGAAAGCTGCACAGATTGTTTTCCATTTTTCATGCAGTACACATAGCTACCCATGATTTACCTCCTGCGATGCTGATTTGGGCTTTTTCTAGTTAAGCAATGGTTTGTCTAAGAACTGTGTGAAATAATTAAGATGTAAGTAGTTTTGAAAGCACATCGACAGCCCCAAAATTTGGTGCTACAAGCACTCTCCCTAGTGGGTAAGAGTCTCTTTGGTGCACATGCAGAGGACTTAAGATCATACTGAATTTCTCTTCTGCATTTTAAGTGTTATGTGGGGACTCATCACGGTTACACTACAAAGTCCACTGAAGGAATAGATAAATTAATTAGTTAATTGAGCCTTTGATCAAACCCTGAAGCTTTCAGAGGTCAGTTGTGGAGCAAAGCTGACATTTAAAGTCTTCAACATTCTTCTTGCCAGGAACTGGCAACTTTCACTGGACCTCAGAGCAGCTTCTCCGATGTCGTTCATGGCACTGACATAAATCCTGCTTGGGAGAAGACATAACTCTTCCTTGTAAAGCTGAAGTATCTCAAGAGTCTTGGCAGTTCTCTCAAAGAGCTCCCATATGTTTTTCAGGACATGTTTTTGCTGAGTAGATGTCCTGTTTCCTCTGATCTCAGGATTTGATCAAAGAATTCTTAACGGAAATGGCTCCTGGTATTTACAAGGGCTATTGTCAAGTGGAGCTGGTCTCCTGCACACTTCAGTCCGTTAATCTAACGGTTTGTTTTTTGTTGTTTTGGCACAAGGTATTGCCTGTTCAGGCACTAAGGTTGGTCCTGTGCCAGTCATAGTCACTGCTGATACGGATACTGCTGCTGGTGTGAGGGCTACTGGGTTATGGGTTTGATTTCAGTACAAAAAAACCATTGTCTTCGAGTGTTGAATGTTCACTTACAAGTGTCCCTTGGACAAACAGGATTAACCTGATAATCCATTACTTTGCTGAGTTGAAGTAGCACTGCCTGTTCTGAGTATCATGTCATACCAAGAGCTGAGCACTTCTGTACCAAGAATGAATCCCAGACTGGTTTGGGTTGGGAAGGACCTTAAAGCTCATCCCTATCCAACCCCCTGCCATGGGCAGGGACACTTTCTACTAGATCAGGTTGCTCTAAGTGCCGTCCAACCTGGCCTTGTTAATTACTGCCCTCTCTGCCTACTGCTCTTCTTCAACTGCAGTGGGATCAAACGAAATTTAAAGATCAAAATCAATTTTCTAAACAGTCCATGGGAGGTCACCCACAGCCTTATACCAACCAGCCACAGAAAGCTTAGATACATTCTACTTCACTTCCATGACTGTGTTCTATAGTAATAAAACAAAATACACCAAATAACATGTGCTGCTCTATGTAAAAGCAAATGGAACAGCTTACAGGTGATGTTCAGTAAAATACAAGTGTGGACAGTTTAAACCTGCCCCAGCTTTCTGTGCTCAGCAAGCAACTGGGGAGAGCCCCAAACAGCCCAGAGCTGCCTCTGCTCACCATCCTGGAGTGACTAACACTCCCTTCCTCCTTGCTGCCATTGCACAGCACTTTCAACACTTGAAGACTAGGATAACTTGTAATTAAGACTGTGTTATTCATAGTAATGAGTGGCACAAGAAATGGCTGACTCTCCAGTTCCTTCATGCTTGGTGTTTGCTCTCCAGAGCTTGAACGTGGTGGGAGGGAGGGTGGCAAAACATCCCCTTTTTCTTCCTGTGACCATTCCAGCCCAAGCAGCCATTTCTTGTTCCAACACACCATGTTGATGATTATGCTCCTTTTCTCAGTCTTCTTGTCCTTGCTTGTGAAGAGCACTATGAGCTGGAGAGATTTCTCTGAGAGCTTTGCCTAGAGTGTGAGCGTAAAAGAAGACTGGAAAAGTAACGGTTAATGGCATGCAGTCCCTTCTTTCTCCCTCTGACTCTTCTGCCATCTGCTTTTCTCTGTTTGCTTTGCATCTGTCACTTCTGTCTGGCTCTGGGTTAATAGATGGTGACATGAATCCTTTTTAGTTCTTGTGAACATTGATTTTTGTCCTGTTTGTGACCTGGAAGAGGCTTGAATTGTATGGGCTTGCACTGGGTGTGCAGAATTATCACAGGACAGGACTGGAATCATGAGTGGAGAAAATGAACCTTTTTTGAGATTAAAGGTGCTGATCTAGATGTGGATCAGGGGATCAATAAGCAATTTAAGCATGTTTAATAATGGAAGCTCTTTATTATGCTTCTTGATTACTGTCATGGAAATGCTTGGGGCATTCCAATCCTGAACGACCTCATCTAGTAAAAAATACTCCACAATAACTCTGACATTTCACTTACTGCTGGCATAATCTCATATGCAAAGTAGATTTCCCAGAATCCTGTTTTCCTGCACTGGAACTGTATAACTCTTCCATTTCCACGTGGTCTCAATTTTTTATTTCTATTAAGTCCTGTAGCAGTGCTTTAGTTATCCTTCCTGGTGCAGAGCTGCTGCTACTGTGCCATTTCCTTTCTAGTAAAGGTGTATTCATCAAATCAGAGTTATTGAGAAATGAGTTTAAGGAACATGAAATTTGTAATGTAAATAATCATTGCAAAAGAACGTTTTCTTTTAGTTAAACTAGTCTAATCCACATTTATTCTAAACTGTTTTGCTTTGTAATTCCACCCCCACTAAGCAGGATTTGTCCTGAATAAAGGACACATAGCCCAAATGGGCCAAGCTAATATTAAACATATATAACAAATTCTCTCTCAGCTGAGGCAAATCCAAAGGTGTCACCTGTGCTGTCCTTCCTTTTTCATGAGTAATCTGCTAAAATGTGCTGCACATCATAAAAAATTACTGCAAACTGTCTTGATTACTGGAAATACAACACAAGCCTCTAACAATTGTAACTTATTGTACTTCAACATCCTGAAATTGAGACGTCAAACAGTTGTTGGGATGTTTGGTCTGTGTTTTGTATTCAGGTACCAAACTTTCTTATTTTAATTTTGTTCTTTATGAACCGAATTTTCATTCAGTTTTTGATGTTGCAACAAGTTGTCTTAAACTTGAAAGGATCAGGAATTCCCTGTGTTGCCTTTCCAAGCTGAGTGAAGGGCTCCCTCCCTCATGTAACATCCTAAGCTGCAGCAAGTGTGTGTACAAGCAGTCGAGCTGCATTTGGTGTCAGCCTTGCAAAAACTCTCTTGTATATGGCAAGCCCTTTAATTTAACAAGCAAGTAAAATGTTGGAGAGATTTTCATTCTGACAGAACTATTGCCCGAATACAGAGACTGGGGCTAAGTTACTGTGCTTGCCACAGATTTTGCAAGGCTGTGCTCTGTGTGTGTGCGTGTGGATATGACATGTCCTTGGGTCAAACTCTGCCTTCCAGTGTAATTTAGCAAGTTCCCTTGATGGCTTTGTGGGAAAGACCTCCTGCATACCACAGAGGGAAGACTTTGGCCCTCTGATTGTGCTCAGGAGCTGTAATCTCTGGCATTTCGTTATATAAGCTGCAGAGGTAGAACTAAGTGTGAGGTGGGATTGAACAAGTGTGAAGATGGTGCACAAGAGGATATGATTTGAGCATCCTTAACTTGAATTTCTGACACTTACAAGCCATATTCCTAAGAATTGTAGCCTGCAAATGGGTTCCAAAGAAGGATGGCGTAAAACTGTCCTGTTTCAGTGCCTGACTGGCCAAGAGATGAGGCATGTTGCCAGCCTGCTCTAAGCAGTGTTTGTATCTGATGGTGAACCATACAAGGAATAAGGATAAATTCATTTAATATCTGGGGAAATACATGAGTCAAGTGTGTTTCTCTGGTTTGTGCCGTTAAAAATGGTTCTTGGGAACATCACTTGTGTTTAAAACTTGAAATTTATTTTTTTAATTCTGCCTCTCTTCAGACTTATATATCTCCCAGCCCCTTTGTTGCAACAGTCCTCAAGCCTTTCTTGTATGGAAGCCCTGCTGAGCCATTCCATTTTTCCTCTTGTTTTTCTCCTTCCATATGCGATTCTTGCTGTCTTTTCTGTCATCTCGTTCCTCTTTTTGCTGTCTTATGTTTGCTCTTCCTTTTTTTTTCTTTCCTCTCTTCTTTTCTTTCTTTGTCTCCCACAACTATCTCCTGGCTCCTCATTCCCTGCATGCCACTAACTGGTTTCATTAGATATTAATTGATTTGTGAATTCAGGCTGAATTGCATCATCAGCAGATGGCGGATCCAGACCTGTTGGAGGAATCCTCTTCACTGCTGGAGCCGAGCGAGATGGGAAGGGGTGCCCCGCTCCGACTCGGGTAATTGCAGTTCAGGATTGCTGGATTAGGGATTATCAGCCTGTGGAAGCAGCAATAATTTCAGCACAGTTGTGGAACTTTCCACACCAAGCAGATGAAAGCTGATCTAAAACTGGCTGTTGCTCTCTGCTCTTTTCCTGCCCATATTAACTTCCCTGTTCATGTTGGTGCTTCAGAGTTCTCTCTGCGCCAAACAATTAACCCAGTTTGTTCCGTGGAAACCTGTCTGCTTGTTTCCTCAGGCATTCTGAGATCTCAGAGCTTTGTTGAAAGTTTTAACTACTGTGGGCACATAATGGTCTGAATAACTGTATAGTTCTACATCCTCTTTATCAGCTGCTTCCAGGCTTCCTTGTACGTTTGTAATACTTTATCTGGACACAGGGGTTTGTTCCAGTGAGGTCCAGTATGAGCCCAGGACACAGTCACTGGCAGCCACGGCTGCTGTAACCCTTGCAGCCAATGTACCAGGGCTGTAGGGAAATGAAAGCTAGAAAATACATATCTAAATGCATTTGTTTCTCCTATAAGCAGCGATTTATATATTTTAAAAGATTATTTCATTCTGTTAAAAAACAGAGCTTGTGCTATAGTGCAGTTGTTTTGTTGTGTATTACCTCCGTGTATTTAGAGGACCTTCCATTGTGGAAGTTAAAATAAAATATTTTACAGCTTTTGGTGCCGGGCCGACGCCCAGTTTCCATCATGTGCTGGGTGCGAGGCTCTGGCGTGGCTCAGGTGCAGCCCCTCAGGTTGTGCTGTCCCTTTGCAGGTTCGTGGCTGGCGTGATCAACCGCGAGCGCATCCCCACGTTCGAGCGGATGCTGTGGCGCGTGTGCCGCGGGAACGTGTTCCTGCGCCAGGCCGAGATCGAGAACCCGCTCGAGGACCCCGTCACGGTACAGCAGCAGGAGCTGGGAGCTGTGGATGGGTAGATAGAAGCCTCTGTCCCTCAGTGAGGTCCATCCCAGCACCTGCTGCAGCCTCTGAGCTTCATCAACAAATGTTTTCCTGTTTAAATAAAACAAAAATAGGAGGCTGGATGGGGAGTGCTGTTGGAAGGGGGAAACCAACTCAAAACACAGACTGTGGGAGGGCCTAGGGATTTCTCTGGCCCAAACTGCAAGTGCAGTTCTGAATGAGTAGTGATCCTCCATGGAGAATGCTCTTTGGGACAGGGACAATGTGTAATATCTGAAGCTCATTTCTCTGAACTTGAACTTTTCATTTTTTTCTTAATTCAATAATCAATAGTTTAAACATTCACCTTAGAACCATTTGCATTAGTATAGAAATAAATAGTAAATGTTATGATTGGGGCTGGTTTTACATCCAGTATCTTCTGTTCTCAAACCAGTGGGCACTGCTCAAACTTGGGGCACCCTTGCTCTTACCTGGTAAAGGGCTGCCCTGGAGCACAGATCCAAGAGGTGAAGCTCAGTAACAGCCACACTTAAGTGAGGCTGATGTGTTCCCTTGTCCCACCAACCACCAATAGCTGACCTGTAGAATTATCTGTCTGCTAGGAGAGACTTTGTTCTTATTGTGCAGAACTTCCTTAAACTGAGGTTACACCTAATGTAATTATTCTCGAAACATTATGTTAAAATTTCCTAAGTAAGGTAGAACAATAACTTGTCAACAAATGCAGGAAAGGGGCCCTGGCTGCCCCCACGGACACAGCTGTGCAAGGAATGTGCCTCTGGCCTCCCTGGGAACCACACTGGTTAAACTCCATTTTTTTTTAATCTTCATTCACTCTTTTGGCTTGATTCTGTAGGTGAGCTGACTGCACTAAGTGCTGATAAATATTTAATTGCATCTTTATTATTTTTGGAGATCTTACCCAGATCTCCATGTATTGCATAGAATCAATAATGGATAACCTGGGGCATTTTGCTTCAGTAAACACAAATACAGTGCAGGTACTCTGTGCTGAGGCTGAGAAGATTGCTCTCCTTGTGACTGTTCCAGTGTTACAAAGGTACATTCTTGACCTGCTGTGCATATCTGAGCTCTGATGAGCAAACTCAGTGAAGGGAAAAGTAGAACTCTGGTAATTATCTAATGCTAATTTCTATAATTCTTTCTTTTGTTCTAGGGGGATTATGTGCACAAGTCTGTATTTATCATCTTCTTCCAAGGTGACCAGCTGAAGAATAGAGTCAAGAAGATCTGTGAAGGGTATGGAAGTCTGACAGCTGGGCAGTTCTCAATTATTTGAAACACGCTGACATGACTTAATATCAGTATTTCTCAACTCCCTGTTTCACAGTGGCTGCAGGAGCACATATTTAGACAGCAAATGAAATGTGCCATAAGTAACTGAGACACATTTTACAGTCACACTCACCACTCCCCAGCCTGTAATGCTCAAAGTACACAACTGCTGTGCTAGGGAATGCAAAATACCAAGGCAGTGTTGATTTCTGGGGCAGGCCTGATGGGACATCAGTGGGATATTCTCACAGTGGAGACAACAGTGACTGCTTCTATCAGCAGTTGCACTGCTTTGACAGCATCCCCCCTCAGCTGGGTGGCAGACCAGCCTCGTGACAGTGCCTGGAGACACACTGGCAGCACAGGGAGCAGAGGATTCTCTCCTAGTTCTGTTTTCTTTACCACTCAGCTTCTGCTTCGGCCTAAAGCAAACTTCTGCATCCCTTTGATGTAGAGGCTGGAGCTCTGCTTGGCAGTTTCTGCTCATCAGAAACTTCTCTCAAGGTGCCTCTGCCTCACCCCTGGCTGATTGATCTTCATTCCGTCTCTGTCACTGAGGTGCTTCCCTGTCTTCCAGGTTCCGGGCCTCCCTCTACCCATGCCCAGAAACACCTCAGGAGCGGAAGGAAATGGCTTCTGGTGTCAATACTAGAATTGATGATCTTCAGATGGTAAAATAACTGGGGCCAATGACCTTTCTTTGTTTTTTTTCTTTAATAATATGGATGAAAACTATAGAAACTTTGGATCCTGTTAAAACAGGAGGATTTTTGCCCCTATTAGATGACCATGTTTTCAGCTTCAGATAGCTTGAGACCAGCAGTGCAAGAGAGGTGTGTGGACACTGCTCAGTTGTTTCTGTGTCATTATTTGGGATGGGTGGTTTGATTTTTCTGGAGAGCTAAGCAATTAATTATATACAAATAAGTACAGAGAACTCGGTGCCAGGGAGAAAAGAGAAACTTGTGTAGGATGGTCTCATAGGTTCTGACTCTGAGAGCATGTTGTGTAACTGCCTGTTTCATCTGCAAGTACTTTGAAAACCTTTAAACTTTTTTCCAAGCTGCGATAACAATGCTAACATTAACGTAGCTCTTCTTTTTTCCTGCCTGTCCTTATATTTTTGTGTTGTGCTGTCCTGAAGAGCTTCTGCTTTTTAGCTAATCACTTGTGCAGCAGCCTGAGTGTTGGTAAAAAGCAATTAGCACCCAGATCTCGCGGGTGCCACCTCTGAAATATCTGGTGCTTGCTTCAAGGAAGAAAGGCAGTATGTGATAATGTAGAAAGATTTAAGGGATTTGAGACAAAAATCAAGAAAAGGTTCAGAAACTAAAAGGAAAAAGATTGAATTTGACCTGCTTATTTGATAGAGAAGCTGTCTCAAGCTGAGAGTTGTGCAGTGTAGCTCAAAAGATGTTTTAAAGTAGAGAGGAAATCAGAAGCAGTGTAACTGCTGTAAGCTGCGTATGCCTTGTGTCCTCACTTTCCCTACAATCTAAGACTTTCCACTCTGGAAATCTGACTTGGCCTGAGTTTGATATGTTCCAGTTGGAAAACACCCTCAGTAGGAAACACTTTCTCCTTTTCCCTTCAGTAAACAAGTCTTTCAGAGTAATGTGTGTTTTCTCAAGGCAGCAAACCCTTTACTTGCAGAACTCTTCTCTGCTCTTTTAACCCGGGTGGAGGTAAAACTGTTCCCTATGATCTTGGCACAGTTCTTTGTTTGAAACAACCACTGACATTGGAGCTGGAGGAGGAAAGTAATCCGAAATTGTCTGAAAAAAGCCTTTAAGCCTTTAAGCAGAACTAATTGGTATGGGGGTACATCATAGACTGCAGGCATGGGGCAGCCTGTGCCTGGGGTGGGGGAGCAGGCTGGTCATTCATCCTCTGTGGGAAAGGCTTGTCTTGTTGGTGCAACTTGAGCTTTGGTCCATGATTTGGCCTCATGTTTTTCCTGCTTCTCTGAAAGGTGCTGAACCAAACTGAGGATCATCGCCAGAGGGTTTTGCAGGCAGCTGCTAAAAACATCCGTGTGTGGTTCATCAAAGTGAGGAAGATGAAGGCGATTTACCACACCCTGAACCTGTGCAACATCGATGTGACACAGAAGTGCTTGATTGCTGAAGTGTGGTGTCCTGTTGCTGACCTCGATTCCATCCAGTTTGCTCTCAGGAGAGGCACTGTGAGTAGATGCTGTGCCAGTCAGCTGTGGCAGCACCGCATGGATTCATTGCCTTTTCTATATTGTGAGCCCCTGAAACCATCCCCTTGGGCTGTTGGAATCAGCCCTCACAGAGGACAGCTCATTTAGCAGGCAGGAATGATGACTTAGAGATAAAAGAAGTAACAGATACATTGTGTGAAGCTTAAAGTTCAGGCGAATGCTGGAATGGTGAGGATTTTACCATGTGTGAGTCCTTTGGTATGCTTAGTTACCCTGGCTGGCTCTGTCGTCCTGGTGTCTGGATAAGGAGCTCTCCATGATGTTGGCAAACTCACTCTCTGCTCAGATAGTCAAGAGAGTTGGGTTTCTTGAAGTCCTTCCACTTGTTTTCTGTCCTGTGCAGACAATGTTCACCTTTACTCCTGCTACACAAAGCAGAGAGCAGTGGAATCCTGGCAGCCTTCCTCAGCTGCTCCAGTGTCTCATTGTGCAAGTACACTGCAAACACTCAGCGTTGCAGTTTTCCAAATGCCAGTGGGACAGCTGTGTTGGACTTCTTCCTCCAGTGCTCCAAGGGTGGGTTTGCTGATCTTCCCTTTGTTTTTCTCAAACAGGAGCACAGCGGATCCACTGTCCCATCTATTTTAAACAGGATGCAAACCAATCAGACCCCACCCACATACAACAAAACTAACAAGTTTACTTCTGGCTTTCAAAACATTGTTGATGCTTATGGCATTGGGACATATCGGGAAATAAATCCAGGTAAATTAAGACTTGGAAAAATCCAAGACTTCTGTCTCAAATTTTTTAGTCATGGTATTTATCTGTATTGCCTGTCCTGTGTGGAAATCTCTAATAGAGAATTCTAGTAGACTCACCAGCTTTCAGTAACAGAGGGGAAGCTGGGGAATTATATTTCCTAAATTGCCTGAAGTGTACCATGGTGAATCTGGGCTGATGAACACACAGTGATGTTGTCTTTTCCCTTACAGCACCCTATACCATCATCACCTTCCCATTCCTGTTTGCTGTGATGTTTGGGGATTTTGGCCATGGAATCCTGATGACTCTGATTGCTGTCTGGATGGTGGTGAGGGAAAGCAGGATTCTGTCCCAGAAGAGTGACAATGAGGTAAAGTGGCAGATTATGCTGAGCTTTGCATTTCAAACAAAGAAGTGCAGCTTAGTTTACTCCCATCCTTTTCCTCTTGATTTGACAATACCCATTACTCCTATTTTGGAATTTTTGAAGTACTTGGACAGGCTGGGAAGCCTGAAGAGCACACCACCCATTGAGTAGTGTAATTTCATAATACTATTGAGTTCCCGTGGTTTTCCTTTTGTACATTTATAGGAAATTATTAATTTCAGTTGTCTGAAGGAAATTATCAAGTGTAGTAGGTAAGTTGGCCTAAAAACATCACCACAAATGTAGCTGGATCACGGTGGGGTTTAGCCAGTGCAAAACTCCCAGTTCCTGTACATATATGTCCCATCTCCAGCATTTTTCCTATTTGCTTCTCAAGGTTGGTTTTGCTGGCTCAGAGCTGACAGGAGCTGAACCAGAGTTAAGATACACTGGCCAAGCTGGAGGAGGCTGACAGGGTCTGTGCTCCTGGTTCCAAACTCCTGCTGCCAGCTGGGAGTTGCATGAGGCTGTGCAGTGCAGTTTGTCCTCTCCAGCTACTCCCAGGTCCCCTGTGGAGATCCACACTGCCCCTTTATCCTTGTTCTCTGTGCTGCTCCCTTAATCTCTGCTGAGGGGAAATAGAGATTTTGTGCTCTCGGTTCATGTGGCTGATGTTTGTCCAACTGACGCCTAGAGGATCTGGAACAGAGGCTAGACAGAGTTAAGAGGAATGAAATGGATATTTATTGAGGGGCCTTCAAAGGCCACACCCTGGCAGTACCAGTGCCACAGTCATGGCCCTACCCACGTGGCTCTAAGATGGAAGCAAAAGAGAGCGTGGTCACAAGAGCTCACATTTTTATAGGTTTTGGTCCATTTGCATACAGTAGTCAACTTCTAATTAATAGCCTCAAATCATGAAGTTTCATCCTCCTTGCTTGCTTGCTTGCCTGCCCTCCTCTTTTCACATTGTTTATGTTTTGGGCCTGAAGTTTGAAGAGATTATCCTTGAGTCCCCAGCTGGAATGTTTTGTCTTCACCATCCTGTGAAAAAAACCTAGTAACCCTTAATATAAAACTAAAAGCTGCACACCAAAGCAGAACAGAAAAACTTGAAACTTAAGGCATCACTACAACAGACTGATTTCCTTAATTTGGCTTTAAGAAGGACCTGCTCTGTTCTCATGGACTTTCTTTGTTCCTTTTGGCTTTTTACACCAGATGTTCAACATGGTGTTCAGTGGTCGATACATCATCCTGCTGATGGGGCTGTTCTCCACCTACACGGGCCTCATCTACAACGACTGCTTCTCCAAGTCCCTCAACATGTTCGGTTCCTCCTGGAGCGTCCGGCCAATGTTCAATAAAGCCAACTGGTCGTGAGTAAACCCTTGGTAACTTTGTAGAGACAGTGAGAAGCAGGTGACTTGTCCTTCCCCATTGTCCTTCAGCTCAGGAAAATAAAAATTTCTGACCTCTGTCTCAGGTAGATTTGGAGGAGGGGTGTAAATGGGATTATATGTGCAAAGATTCAAAATGGCACTTTTTTTTCCCATAAAACTTACAAAATGCAGTTTCTTACCTATTTCCCCATAGACATTTCAAGAGTCCTGTCCCCTGCACCTGTCTTCCTTGTGACACTGAGTAAAAGGTCAAGAAACAGGGTTTTATTCATTTGGGAAAATCTTTAGAACCGTCCAGTTTCTGCAACCTTGAAGTTCTCTCAGTTTAAGCTATTCCTTGCTCTCACAAGGGAAGAGTGTTGCTGGTTTTTACAGAAGGAGGGTTGCTATTGTTAATGTTTGTATAATCTTATTCCCAAACAGAGATGCTTTGCTGGAGACCACCCCCTTGCTGCAGCTGGATCCTGCTGTCCCAGGGGTGTTTGGTGGGCCCTACCCCTTTGGCATTGACCCAGTAAGAGCTCATCCTTCCTCTGCAGTCCTTTGGGAAAAATCCTCAGTATCAGCAGAAAGAAAAGTACCTGGCTACTCACTGTTCTATGAAAGATTCCCCAGCCCAGCCATTCCCTTAGCAAGTCCATCAGTGGTGGGAATACTCCTTAATAACATCATTCCTAGTGAGATGCCAGATTTGGGATGGAGACCCTTGTTCTGAGGTCCATTAAAGGCTGTGTTCTCACCCCTTCTAACATGCAGTGCTTTAATCAAAACTGATTAGCCTCGAAAATCACTTTCTGAAATTACTTTTTTAACGTTGGGGAAAGCTGTTAATCTCTTTTTTCAGTCACCCTTGGAAATGTACATTTCCCAGTAATTCTGTCACTTTGTACCTGCCTGCATCAACACCTTTGCTCTTAACTCTGCTTGTAATATATGACAAACCCTGTGTGGGTTCCACATATAGAGAAAGTGTAGGAAATCAGAGCTGTGTGTAATTGTTCCTTTAAATGGATAATCATATTCTTTCTGTTAAGGATACAGCCTCTTTTCTCCTGCACCTTTGAGGTACCATGAAAACAGGTTTGATTCATGCTCAGGGTTCAGTTATTGTCAGACTGTTCCTAGCTGAAAGTTTGTCTGCTCATTTCCCCAAAAGATATCCGTAGGACAAATACCTCTTTAAAAACCTGCTTTTTCAGCCTCACACTTCCTGACTGGTTCATACTGTTTAGCTTAAAGGGAGTGTTTTCCTTCTCCTGTTTTCCTTTCCCTAGTATCTGACTAGGTGTTGTTTTTCACAGATCTGGAATATTGCCAGCAATAAGCTGGCTTTCCTCAATTCCTTTAAGATGAAGATGTCTGTGATTCTTGGCATTTTCCAGATGCTCTTTGGTGTCGCGTTGAGTCTCCTCAACCACATGTAAGTGCTTTGCTCTGGTTTTCTCATGGTGAGGGGAATGGAGTGTCTTTGGGTGTTGTGTGGTTTAAGATGCCTGCCAGTCCTCACCTCCTGATGGAAGGTGCAGTGCAGTTGTCTCTGGCTATGTGTGGAACTGTGCCTGTCAGGCAGTTCCTGTGCTACAGGCCCAGCTGTTGTCAAACTGTGTTCCAAAGACTCTCTTCTCTCTCTTATTAAAAGTTTTTGCCCTAATTCTAACCAAATCTAATAGAAACTTTTTTTTTTCTTCCCTGTAGCTATTTTAAGAAGCCACTGAACATATACCTTGGATTTATCCCAGAAATGATTTTCATGTCCTCCCTCTTTGGATACCTTGTTATTCTCATCTTCTACAAGTGGACAGCCTATGATGCTCACACATCCAAGGAAGCACCGAGCCTCTTAATACACTTTATCAACATGTTTCTGTTCTCCTATGAGGACACCAGTAATAAGATGCTTTATAGTGGGCAGGTGCGTGCTCTTGCTAAAACAGAATAAGAGATGCTTCATGATACTGGAGTGTCTCACTGATCTTGTCATAATTGTGAAATCAAGCATGAAACATCTTTCATGCATTTCTGAAGGCTGATACTATGTAATGTTGAAGAAGGAAGGAATAATTCCTATACCAGGAATTTTTATTTGACCATAAGTCAACTATGACTTCAGAACACGTGGATCCTGATTAATGACAGAAAGCAATTAGGAATATTGTCCCATGTCTGCAATGTGATACCTCTCAGCTTAGCTCAGACACCAATGCTGTTTCCTCCCAGCAGTATCAGACATCTGCCAAATTCTCGTTCCCTGCAGGATCTTTTGGATTTTTCCCCAATCTAACCCAGTCTCAGCATTAAATGCTGTGCTCAGTCAGAGCTGCAGGTATTAAGTATTTAATTGCTGTTCCCAGAAGAGAGAGGGGTAATGGAGTATCCACATACTGGGAATTCAGCTGTTCTTGCTGGTTTCTGTGTATGTTTGAGCGGGGGCTGCAGCTGAATTACCTGAGACTTGTTTCTTTTGCAGAAAGGGCTCCAGTGTTTCCTCGTGGTGGTAGCCTTGCTGTGTGTGCCATGGATGCTGGTAGCCAAACCCCTGGTCCTTCGCCAGCAGTATTTAAGGAGAAAACACTTGGTGGGTGACTCCCTTTTACATTTTACATATGAAAACTAGTTTTGTTTGAAAAGCTATGTTCTCCATCCTGAGCTTGGATTCATGAATTCACACTGCACTGAAACCTGTAAAGTATTTTTTCATATTCCTGGGCATACCATACCAGCAAGTGGGTGTTACTGGAGACAGAGTGTTGCCTGCCTGCTTCCCAGATCTGGATCCAGCATCAAACCTGCTTTTAAAAACCACTTATGTTGGTAATGATCAGAACAGCGTCTCTGGCTTGGGCTTTGGTAGGTGGTTTAGGAACAGTCTCACTGGTGCTGGATGCACTTCTATTGCTGGGCTGGGCTGGCAGTGGGAAACAGAGATGGAAATGGCTGGCAGACTTCTCAGCTATCTTTGTTAAAGCAGCTTGGACGGTAAAAAAAAAAAAACAAAAAAAAACAACGGAAAAAGAAGCTTAGAGACTCATGTGAGAGGTTGTCTGCTGGGGTGCTCTGTAGGATTCCATCTGCACTGTGTGTGAGATGCAGGAACAGGGCACACGTGCACTGCGGAGACGTGCGAGTGCTCCCTGCACGTCTGGCAGCGCTGTGAGGATGTGCAGCGAGTCAAAGATCAGTTCAGTTACAGACACTCCCTCTCCCTTCTCTGACCACCTTTCATCCTCCCATGTCCCCTCCATTCCTCTCCCTTTCTCTTTTTGTTTTCTTCCTCCTCCCTCTCTCTTCTTCCGTCCACCCCCAGGAAGGGCAGCCCGAGGAGGCCCAGGGCAGCACGAACTCGCAGGCGCTCGAGGCAGCAGCGGCTGCAACAGTGAGTGCACTTCAAACTCGCCTGATGCATTACAGACGGGAGTTGGCTTTGTGTCTGGTTATCGAGGGAGCATGGAATGTATCTCAATTTCATAAGGGAATGGCAAGTGCACCTTTAGGGTGGAAAACACTTTCTCTTGGAAAGAGCAAAGTTTAGCCAAATTGATACATTCTGGATGAACACCCAGGCTGGAGGATGGTAGTTGTGTGTGCACAGAGACACTTCCTTGCAGGAGTGCTGCTGAATCCAATCAGCAGAGCAGCACAAGATTTCCTGCTACCACATCTTCCCCCCTCGTCTTAAATTCCCTTTTTTTTCTTCTGCTTCTGTATTTAAGATAGATTAGGATTCTTCTCAGTGCAGTATTTCTGTTTGCATTACGTGTTCCCAAACACACAAGTGACGTGATGGCCTCCAGCAACTCCATGTCAGTAATCATTGGATTTGTGACACATCTGTCCTGTACACACTTTGATCTGAAATTATTATAAAATGGTTGTGCACAAGCAAGCTTCTTGGTGGTGGCTGTTTTGACTTACATGTTTCTAAGCCTACAGATGGCCCTTTGCTGACAGAGCTTTCTGCTAAGGATTGTGGCAGCCCCAGAACTTAGTCTCTTCCCCAGTCCTACCTATTTCAGCTACATTTTAGTTCTGAATCTGTCTGGCTGACTAGGATGTGTGAATCTCACTGATTGTGTGGAGCACATCACGTTCTCCAGGTGCCAGAGGTGCTGGGAGGGACATGTCAGCTGGTTCTCTCATGACATTTTAGTCTCCTCACAGAAATGTCAGGAATTAAAATGGATCTTTTGTGCAGGATCCGTCCAGTGTATGAAATGCATCTCCATCAGGAAGCTGCAAGGGGAGGTCTTGTGTGAAGTGTGCTTAGAAGGATCAAGTAAACAATTGGAGCTGTTGGAGCTGTGTTTAGGTTGGCTGGTTTACAGGGAATTGATATGAGTCAAGTGCGAGGGAAGGGCTGCTCAAGTGCAAGTTCACACAGGCTAGAAATACATAAATAGAATATTGATAGGAGTCATCATTGACTTTTGGTGTTTCAGAGATACTGAAAATTCTAATAAAAGCATTGTCTTAGTTATTAATGTGGAGAGTTTGTAAATTTTATTTCTGTTTTCAGAGCATAAACACCTACCTAATTTTGTTTTTAGAAACTTGACAAAATCTCTAATTCGTATCTAGCATTTTGGGCATATTTATAATTCAGCCTAAAATAAAAGTAGGCTTCTAAGGACAAAGGAGGTAGAAGAACTCAGAGCAGCTGTTCTGCTGGTCTGTGCAAGTACCAGGTCATCGGACCTTCAGCCTCTTTCATCTGCATGGGCATCCCTGGACTTCTGCAGTCCGGGTGTGGCAAGTCAGGTCACATCCTGTGTCACAGGTGATCCAGGACAGTGCTGAAGCTGGGCACAGGGTTTATTTCTATTTATGGTGTTGTAGTTTGCCTCTCTAGGGGTCAGACTCAGGGGTTGGGTGGGAACCACTCCCGATTTCAGCATTTCAGCTCAGCCTGTTGTTGTTCTTTTCCCTTTGGAGTCCTGGAGCTGCAGCTGAGGGTCAGATGTTGAATGTCAGAACAAATGTCTCTAAAAGGACCTGCTTGCACAATGTAGGGTTTCTGAGCAGGGGAAGATCTGGTTTTCCATGTGGTGTTGGTGTGCCTGAGGCTGGTGGGAGCAAGTGTGTGTGTGTTTGTGTTAGCTCCATAACCTGCTCCAGTAGCCAGCAGTGGTGTGTCCATGCTTGTCCAGCCGTGCTGGGCAGGACGTGGGGCTGTTGCATGTCAGAGCCAGCAAATGTCCTCTGAGAGGTGTGCCTTTATTGTCCTCATGGTTACTGTTACACTGTAGAAATGTACCAAGGATTCACTCAGACAGACTTTTTTTTTCCCCAGCCCCAGCAGGAATCAGCACCTTTCCCATCCAAGCTGGGAAATAGAATTGTACCTGCCTTAATCTGGGCCTTAATATTTAATATTTTGTTTTCCTCTGTGAGCTGCTGCTGCACATGGAGTCATGAGAAACCTGCACTTTTGCACTAAAACCCAAACAACACTTTGCTCTTTCTTTTCTGCATGTGTCAGGGCACGCACAACTTTGGTGGGATCCGGGTGGGCAATGGCCCAACGGAGGAGGATGCTGAGATCATTCAACATGACCAGTTATCTACCCATTCTGAGGAGGGGGAAGAGGTAAGCACCTGAGCATCCTCGCTCTCAGGGCACTGCACTCGGCAGCAGGATGAGCTCACTGGGACTGTAGTTACTCATTTCCAGGCTGTTTAAACAGCAACATTCCCAGTGAAGTATGTTCCTAGCAGTTTTCTCACTGACTGTCTCTTGATCACTCCCAGGACTCCAGAAAAAGCAACATAATTTGCATATCCTGGGAGCTGTGGCTCTGTTTGTCCCCCAAAAGCCACCATCTCAGGAGTGCACAGCACTCCCAGGTGCCACATGTTATCTGCTTCTCCCATGCCAGTGGAAATTCAGGGGCTGTGTTTCTGCAGCACTGAAATTTTGTTTATGTATTCGTTTTGACTGCTGGGGGTAAGATTAATTACTTCCCTTTCCTCTGGGAGAGGAGAAAAACAGTCAATCTCAGGTAGCTGGGGAGTTTTCTGATGTCTCTGAACAACTGCAGCAGATCCTGCCTCTGTAGTGCATGGGATGTGTTACTGCTTTCCGTGGCGTGTGTAGGAGGGAATTGCTGAATGTGTTCATGATTAATGTGATCAAAACACTGCACTAAATGTAAATTTATGTTTTCAAGCCTACAGAGGACGAGGTGGTAAGAGCACAGCAGCTTTGCCTTCATGTGTACCTGGGCCATTTCCCATCAGTGTAAAACGTGCTGAATGGAACTTGTTATGTCACAGCATCTTGTTTTCCAAAAGATTTTGCTGTTTTCATGTTACAGACCATTTTTAATTCATGCACATATACATCAACAGACTTCTATACTTCATTTGTACAGCTTGTCTGTCTGATCCCCTGTCTGCAGATTGTTCCCAGTTACCTGGGAAACTGTTCAGCTGGAGGTCTGAAACTGAAAAGTTTTCACTTCCGAGCTTCCAAAGAAGTCTTCCTGTTTAAGTTGTGGCCTTCTTAATTTTGTGCTGCAGCAAACTGTTTAAAGAGATTTCTTCCCACAAACTATCTGCCATGTTAAGGATTATGCTGGTTAACCCAGAGAGCAAATGCAGCACAACCAGTCCAGTTTCATGTAGTTTAGGAACTGAACTGGCCAGAGGCTTTGTGTAAGAGAGAAGCTTTGTTCTGAGAAACTGCTCATCTATATGCACTTGTAACAAGTATTAAAAACATGGGGTTTAATACCGATGCAGCATTGAGTGTAGGTTTCAGCACTATCAGATAAGCAATTTTACTACAAACAATACAAATGGCATGAAAATAGAACAGCTTGACCAGGGCACTGCTGGTGAAAAATGTGCTGAGAATGGTTTGCTCAGAGCTCTGCTGTGCACAGGCCTGTGTGGAATGGAGGGGCAGGGGAGGGGCACGGGGTTCCTGTTTTGGTATACCTGATGTCTCACTGAACCTGGGGAAAATGTGTCAACCCACAAGGACTGTGCCACTGCAATCCTGATACTCCCAGTCCTGGCTCAGTGGTTGCTCTCTCTAGCAGTTTCACTCAGCTTTGAAAGGTCATTGTTTAAACATTTCCCACATTCTCTCCTGCTGGTGGCTCGTGTGTCCAGAGCTGGAACTGTTGGCTAGGGCAGCCTTTAGTGACACAGCTCACATTCTGTAGAGAAAGGATTAGGATTTTGACAGCTAATTTAACTGAATTGTTTGAAATATTTATTGCCTTGGATATGCTAGGGGAGAATTAAGAATATAAATAGCTTTGTGTGCATGCCTAGAGCATTAGTCACTGGATGTATTTAAAACATCATGTTCACTTAAATCTGAACACTTTCTGAAGTGTGGATTAAATCCAAAGTGCAGGGAATGCTTTCCCAAGCTGCAAGATAAGAAACTGCCCGACATGGCAGACTTCCTTATAAGTTCTTCTTTTATTGCTGCAGAAAATTACTGAGACACAGAGACTTTGCCAGTGAATAGCGCACAGATGCGACTTTTTCAGGGTAGCATAATGCATTATTTTTGCATTCAAAAAGGGCAGGTTCATGTCTTGCAAAATGCTCCTGTTGCTTCCGTGGTAAAGGCACACACAGTATGGCTTGGGGCACTGCCTCCTTCCCACAGCAGCACCTCTGGTTTACCAGGGAGTGCACACCAGCACCACCTTCTGCTGAACAGTCTTTTCCTGGCTAAGCCCATGGATGAATTTGGAATATCTGACTTTCACATGCCAGAATAAGAAAACAATGTTTACATCACAGCATTTGTCGTTCTGCAAAACCTGTCAAGATTCATTTTCTGTTTGTGGCGCTGTCGTGGTGAACCAGGAGAAGACAGTGTCAGTGTGCAGTGTCACACACAGTGTCCCTGGTGATAGCAGCACTCCCCCTGCCCGTGTCCCTGCCCAGCTGGCCTGCACTGTGCTCCCAGCTGCCCTCATCCTCTGTTCCCTTTGCAGTTTGACTTTGGGGACACCGTGGTGTACCAGGCCATCCACACCATCGAGTACTGCCTGGGCTGCATCTCCAACACTGCGTCCTACCTGCGCCTCTGGGCACTCAGCTTGGCCCACGCACGTGAGTGTCCCTCAGGGAGCTGAGCTGTGCCTGCTCAGCCCAGGCAGGCTCGAGGCTGTAGTAGAATAGTTTTAAGTGTAGCAGAATAGTTTGTAAGGTTAGTGCAGGAGGCAATCTTTCCCAATGAATTACAGCTTTACTGATTACTGAGGAGTGAAAACAGCCTTGCCTGCCCAATGAGGTTGGGTGTTATAAAAGAGTGGGCTAGCTAGTTATAGTTTGAGATCCTGAGTCTGCTGGCTATGCTGTGAGGAGGGAAGGGACATGCAGTTGTGTAAGGGACAGATAAGGTAAGAGGATGCTGTGTGAGGGACAGACAGGGTTAGGCAGCCAGGTAAGGGACAGGTTTGGGTTTAGTCAATCATGCAGAAGGACAAAGGAAACTTGCAGAGAAGGAGTCAGTGCTGTGTGGAGCTGCCTGTAAGAAAAGGAGTCAGTGCCGTGTGAAGTAGCTAATGAGGAAAGGAGTTAGTGCTGTGTGGAGCTGCCTATGAGGAAAGGAGTCAGAGTTGCCTGGAAGAAAGCATGAAAAGTTTTTAATAAAAGACGGATGTTGGTGCCAATCATGTCCGTCTAAACATAATTTTAACAGCAGCAGCACAAGAGGCCTCTCGGGGCTCAGCTGGCACAGGACAGTGCTGTGTGTGCATTACCTGGGAGCAGTGAGCTCCACACACCAGGATCTGCTCCCACAGCTCTGCTGAATGGGAGGAATGGAGTTAAAATCACAGAATAAAGAGCTGCTGAGCAGGGACTCTGCCCTGTGTGACAGCTGGAGGCAATGTCCTGACACACTTGGCTGCGAGAGCTCTTGTCCCTCTTCAGTTTCTACCTCATTGTAGCAGGGGTTTGCTTGACTTCAGTTTTTGCTTTGCCAGTAAACAATCCCCTGTTCCTTTTGACTGAGTTTTCTCCTCTTTCTTTCGGCAGAGCTCTCGGAGGTGCTCTGGACCATGGTGATCCACATCGGCCTCAGCGTCAGGAGCCTGGGGGGAGGCTTGGGCCTCTTCTTCATCTTTGCTGCTTTTGCCACGCTGACAGTGGCCATTCTGCTGGTCATGGAGGGGCTCTCAGCCTTCCTCCATGCTCTGCGCTTGCACTGGTGAGTTACTGGGACATCCAGAAACTTGGAGACCTCTTCATAACAAGAAAATTGATGTCACCTGGACTGTGCAGAATTGCCATCTTCTAGAAAGCAGAAAGTCTTAAAAAGGGTCAGATATTTCAATCCTGTTTTTTGGGGATTTCAGTCCTCAATTGTTTAAAGTTGTGGAGCTCTGCTTAGAAATAAGCACTAAAAGACTAAAGCTTTAGGGCCAAAGCTTTGAGATCAGGGACTGGGGAGGCTGTGCTGGCTGGAGCTTTGTGGCTTTCAGCAGGACTTTCTCGTTCCATCTCTAGGTCTTTTCTCTGGTTCTTGTGTTTGTTGTCCTTTGTGTCCAATAGCTGCTGACTGTTCTTGTTCATTGCTATAAAACCTTGCCTTGGACAGGAGCAGCTTTGCCTTCTGCCCTTGGGGTACTTTGGGGTGGCAGCGAGATTTAGCTGGTCTTGCTTTGGGAAGTTGAGTTTGCGCCCCTTTCCTGTGATCATTAAGCTCCTGTGTATGCAGCCAGCAAAGCAGAAGGAATTACTCTGCTCCCAAGTATGGAAAATATTCGAGAGCTTTCTCTAATCCATGTGTAAGAGCCCTCATTGTTCCACTTCAGATTCCCTCGTTAGTGCACTGGTGGGATCAGAGGAGCAACTGGGCGTAGGATTTTCTCATGTAGGAAATGTCAGAGAGTTTGTGCCTCTGGGGTTCAGGCTGCTGTCACCTCCTCAGGCTGCTGATTTCCTGGGGGGGAGGGGGGTAGCAAAGGGAAGTCTCTGAAGATCACAAGAAATACTCTGTCTTGCTTAAATGGGAAGAAAAGGTTGGGAACACTCTCTGAAAGTAGTTCTGTAAGTGCAAAAGGAAGCAAATGCCTCTGGAAAAAAAAAAAAAAGGCAAAAAAAAAATCAGCTTTTTGCACTTTTCCCTTGCTTGTGGGGAAGGAAAGCTTTGGCCTTTTGCCCTCTCCCTTGGTAGCTAGCGAGGTGCAGGCTGGGGGGTGCAGATTGGAGTGTCCTGGCTCCTGGAGGTGCAGGCTGGAGGGTCCTGGTCCACCTGGTCCTGTGTCTCTGTAGCCAAGTGAGCCAAGCTGATCCTGGGGCGAAGCCATCTTGTGCTGAGGGAGCTGGGGGGGCACTCCTGGAAATGGCTGCTGGATGGTGCCTCTGTTTTTCCTGGCATCCAGCCTGAACCCTGCATAGCAGTCACTGGAGAGCTCCTTGCTGACTGGCCAGAGGTCCCTCATCCTCTCCCTGCTGTCACTGTGCTGGGCCACCATAGCAGTGACAGCAGGAGCCCCATGGACCCTGCTGGGCACTGAGAGCAGTCCAAGAGGAGGAGAGTGCAGCAGTGCTGTAACTCCAGATGTGGTGGGCTTGCTCTGCAATTCCTTGAGGATTAAAGGATTTCCAGGGCTGTGGCCTCTCTGGGCTGTGGAGCAGCATGGCCATTTCTAAGCAGCAGCAGGGGAACAGCTCTGAGCAGCTGCTCTAGACAGGCTCTATGGAGCAGAAAACACATTTTTAGAGAGGTACCTGTCTTGTGTTAATCACAAACTGCACCTCCAGATGCGGCTCAGACACCTGGAACAGCTGTGAGCTGGAGGTAATGGTTTGCATTGCAAGGCTTTCCCTAAAGGGCCATTAAGAAAACATCTGTGTATGTGCTAGTGAAAAGGCAAACAGGCAAACTCAGAGGCAGCAGCAGTGAGAGCACAGAGCACTCTGCCCATGCAGACCAGTGCAGGGCAGCTGTGGAACTGGAGTGCTTAACAAAGTCCTGTTTTCCTTAAACATGTGTTTCAAACCTGCGAACCTTTCATGCACAGAATCTGAGAGAAAATCTGTTCAGGTTCAGAGCCCGAAAAGCAAGTTTAAGGTTCTGTTTCAGACGGCAAGTGATCTGCTGAAATGATTTTGAAGTTGCTGGGTGTTGGTTTTCACAGGGAGGCACCTGCAGTAGGTCCAAAGAGCACACTGTTCACATTCCTTTTTGCTCCTGAACTGAAAACAAGGAGTTCCAATGGCAGGTGTTCCCTTTTTAGGAAGAGGAAGGGAGAGTGGAGGTCAAATACAGCTGTCCTGGGAGGAGCAGATGGGATTTTTTGGCTATGGGAGAGCCGTCACCTATCAGGAATTTGAGGTGTGGGTGGTTCAGCCTTCCTGGAAAGGAGGAGAAATTGAGCATGTGTTTTACTGGTCAGGGAATTCACAGGTTGTTCCATATGCTGTGCCTGGCAGTCCCGAGTGAGGGAGGTTTATTTTGTGCTTTTTCAGTGTGCATTCTTTAAGCAGGTTGGGCTTTTCAGGCCATTCTGGTGTGGAGGCAGCCCTCTGGATTGCTGCCAGGATTGCAGGGTGTGAATTTGGGCTCTACTGCAGCTCAGTATGTGTCTGAGCTGTTGTGCTGTCAGCTTCTTTTGCTGTAACTCTTCTGAAATATATCACTCTTCTGAAATATTTAATCTTTCCATTTATTGCTTTTCAGTGATGTAGTTTGACATGAACATTCAAATTAAGGCAGCTTCCCCCTTTTTAAGCTAGTCACCTCTTCTAACGTGAGCCAGAACAGACTGTGCCCAAAAGAAAAAGTTTGTAACTATTTAGGGTGCTGCTTCTGGAGGAGTGGGTGTGTTGGAGCTGCATCCCGCTCTCAATCCAGTGAGTGGGAGTGGTGAAGTCCAGGTGCTCACCCACCTGCCAGGATTTGATTTTCCTTTGTGAATGTCATGAGCCAGGACTTACCTGCAGTGTGGCTGCAGGAGCCACTGCTCCAAGGGGCAGCCCCAGCCTCCTGTCAGGCAGGATGGAATATCCCAGAGACAGATACGGTACCTCTGCTCTTTTTGGGAAGGAGTAACTGCAACAGTCTCTGTGCAGACACCCCAGTGGGTTCTGTCAGTCGGGTGTGCCACCCTTGAGCTGTGCCTGGTTTACATCTGACCCAGGCTCTGGCACTTTTAGGGACACAAACATAGAGTGGGAATTTGCAGTTGTACTGAGTGACAATCGGGGTTCCTGTTGCACTTTTGCTTCCTACTCAGGGACTGGAGCTGCCTGGTTTTCCAGTGTCAGTACCCTGACTCTGTGGGGTTGGAAAACCCAGAGAACAAGAGTCTGACAAATGCTGACACTATTAATGCAAAAAGCTGCAGAGTGGGTCTCCTGTATTGCTGCTGCTGCCAGAGGACTCCTGGGCTATTTGCTGATAATGCCACTCTGTATAAATTCTCTGCAGAACTTGGTCACTGATGTGAGACACATGGAGGGTTTAGCAGTAAACTGGGACACGTAACAGGCAGTGAGCCTGGCAACAACAGTGCTTTCTGCTGGGTCCTGGGTGTTCCTGGAGACACCTGCAGAACACCCCACTGACCGTTTACACTGATTATTTGGTTAAATACACTTTTCTGGCTAGTTCTCTAACCTTAGAGCAGCCTCTCTTCCAATGTCAGGCCTCCAGTTGTAACAGTTGTAATGTCCAAAAGGAGGGTTTGGATCCTGAGGCCTGCTGGAATTGTGAATCATCAGGGTTAACATGTCAGTCACAGTGAGCTTGGGTGACTCACATACCCAGCCCTCTGCCTCTCATTTCCCTTTGCTTACAGAACAGTTACTTAGTCACAGGATACTTATGGAGATTATCAGGGTTCCTGAAAAACTAGAGCACATTGGCAAGGAGCCCTTCCTCCCACATGGAAAATCCTGCTCATCCTGGGGATCCCTTGGCCTGCAAGGCAGCAGAAGATACAGGCTAAAGCTGGTTTTCCTGAGCATTTCCCTCCTGGGCTCTGTGGGGAAATCACTTTTTGCTGGCTGAATCCAGCAGCTCTGGAGTTTGCCATGATTCTCCATTTGGGAAAAAATAATTCAAGTTTTTCTTTTTTTTTGTTGAAAAACCCCCTTCTCGTGAACTGTGTTAAGGGCTCCCCAGTTTGCTGTCACTGCCTGCAGAGACTTTGTTTTCCAGCGGATTGTGCAGTGGAAAGTGTCTGTGAAGCCTAGCCTTGTTTTTGCTGGGAATCAGGGGATTAGTTTTCCCTGTTCTTATTTGGCTGTTGATGACTGTTGGGCAGTTCTCTAGAATAATGCCTTTTTTTTCTTGAGTTCATTAGGGGCAGCAGCAAATGGGGCTGAGCTAACGCTCGGCTGGAGCTGGCGGGCACATCCCAGTGCAAATGTGCTGCAGGGAATAAACAGAAGTGGCTGGTGGGGAGTCTGAGCTCAGTGTCACATGGCTGAGGCTTGTGCTAATGAAAAAGGGAACTTTAGCAGCTGGTGTAGAAAATGCTGTCTCTGCTCCCTGTGCTTCCTGGGACACTGTGGTCAGAGTTGGCTTTCTGCTCCTGTTGCCATTTTTTCTCTCTGAGGGTGGGATCGAAGTTTCTGGACAACTCTTTGCTCCACACAGAAGCATCACATTAGATGGGGAGGTTGTGCCAGAAGACACTTTATGTTGTAATACCTCTTTTTAAAGCTTTTTACAGTCAGTAATCCTACTTTTAATGGAGTTCTTGCTAATTGTTCTTATTGAGAGATGCCTTTTTAATGAATAATCACTCTTCTATCTCTTGCAGGATTGAATTCCAGAACAAGTTCTACACTGGCACTGGGTTCAAGTTTCTTCCTTTCTCCTTTGACATCATCCGTGAGGGGAGGTTTGACGACTGAGGTCCCCCCAGTCAGTCCAGCAGTGTTAAACTTTGTGTGTGTGTGACCCTCCCCAACACCCTCCCCGTGTGTCTGAGTTGTGTGTATAGTGACAATAACTTATTGCAGCACCCTTGAGCGTTACCATGGCATCCCAAAGCCAAAAGCTTTGACGTTCTGGGGTAACGACACTGGATCACAGAAACGTTTTATTCATTAAGTTTACTCCTAAAGGTACCAAGTGCATGAGTTGTCTGTTTGGTGTGCAGTCGTGTGCTCCCTGTATTGTGCATTCCTTGGCAGCTGATCAGGGCAGAAAAGAAATGGCAGCTGTGCTGAGGGGACAAATCAGCACATGGAGAAAAGGCCCAACGACCTCAGCTTGAGAAGGCTGTTCCTCCTCTTATTGCTGGAGGCAATGGTGAGGAGTCCTCATGCATTGGGACTCTGCTGCCTGACTGTGGCCTGGGGAGGGATGGGCCTTGGTGCAGACTGTTACTGGTCACTGCAGGTACTGCCACTGGCAGTGAAACTGGGCTTTCTGGTTTGAAACCAAAGCCCTCGAGGCACATCAGATTAGTGCCTGTGTGGGCTTGGCATCGGTGGAGGCAGCTTTTGCACAGGTGGATGTACCCGTGACTCACACTGTCCTGTGCACTCAGGGTCTGAGAAGCCCGTTAAGAGAGAGCATGGCCCACTCTTGCCAAAATAGCTCCATGGCAGGGGGGTCTCTCTGGTGTGTCCCTGCATTAGCTGATGCTTTCTTTACTGTCCAAGCTGTCAAAATTTCCTTGCACTCCTCAATTTGATGTAGCTGTAGCAGCAGTGGGGTGTGTGTTAGTGCTGTGTGTGACTGTCATGTTCGATTCTCACAGTGGAGCTGAGTATTTGTGTATGAACAGATTAGAACAATAACGAGACTCATTAACCTGGAAGCAAGGAGGAAGTGCCTCGAGGTGCCAGGCTGCTTAAAATTAGGTGAGAAAGTTACCTTTCACAGTGCAATGTGCACGTGTGTGGGGCACAGGGACCTTTGTGCTGCACCTGGGCAGATCACTGTGTTACAGGAGGATGTGATGGGTATTCACAGAGGTGTTCACAGACTGAAGGGTGAAATCAAAGCGTGGCTGCAGGTGGAGCTTTGACATGAGTCCTATGTATTCTGCTGCCTGGGTGAAATGTTGCTGACAGTCGCTGTATAAATTAAATGAACTCCACAACAAACACTGTGGCCTGTTTTCTGCTTCCCCAGTGCTGGCTGAGGGGGCTCAGGGCAGCCCCTCATCCCTGACCTACACAGAACACAGCCCCCAGAGCTGCTGGGACCTTAGGCATTTCTGTCCAGGATCCTGTCGTTTCCACGGCCAGAACCTGGGGTAGGCAGGGCTGGTTTGTACAGCGCGGGTGGCGTGACCCTGCCTGGGCTGCGCCGGCTCTGTGCTTATCGAGCCCCAGCGATATCCTGAGCAAAGGCCAGGACAGGGCTGTTTATCCCGGGGGCTCCTGCCCATCCTCATAGACCCTGTGACTGGGTGGAATGAGGAGTTGTGCAGGGGAAAAAGTTCCAGCTTGTTTAACCCGGGTGCTGTGGGCACCGTTCGATGGGGACTGAGGCAGCACGCTCTGCGTTCCCGGGGCTGTGCCCTTCTCCTGCTTTCCCCAGTGCAGGGACCCCCTGCCCCCGGAGGGCCGTGTTTACTCAGGTCCTTCCTGCCGGACCGGCTATTTCCACATGTGCGGGAGCAGCGGAAGGGAGGGTTCTGCAGGGGTTTGGCGATTGTGTTGCTGATGTCTGTGTGTTTCCCATTTCCTGATGTTTCCGGGAGGGCGAGAAGCCGTGCTGAGCTGCGGCCCCAGCCTCCCGCACCTCTAGGACGAGGAACCGGCTTCCCGCCGGTCCGGGGGATGCTTTTCCTGCAGCTGTAGGTACTAGCGGGCTGGGAGAATGTTCTCTCTCCTCTTTCACCATTCTCCCGTGTACTCATAACATTTCTGCCAGTTTCCATGGCTCTGGGGTCACAGGCGCAGCCCTGCTGCTGGCAGGAGATCCCGGCCCCCTGTAGGCTGCACCAGGGGTGCTCGGGGAGTCCCGCGTTCCCCCGTCCCGTCCCTTCTCCGGGCCGCTCCGCAGTCGGGTTCTGTCCTGGAAGTGTTTACGAACTCCCCTGAAGCTGAGAGAGACCCGGGCAGCCCTAGCCCGCCCCGGTCGCAGTCCCGTTCCCGTTCCCCGGCGGGGTTCGCCTCGTCGGCCAGGCCCGGGGCCGCGCCGGGGGCTGCTGCGGCTGCCGGGACGCTGCCCAGCCCCGAGGAACCGGCGCTGCCCGGTCTCGCAGCGCCACCGGCCGGCCGGAGCGGGTCCCGGTCAGTCCCAGGAGCCCCCGAACTGATGGATGGGCGGGGCCGTCGCGGCCCGGTTCCCCGGGTGGTGCGGAACTGTCGCGGGTGGGAAACGCGAGACTGGAAATAGCCCGGAGCCCCGGCGGTCCCGCTGCCCCGGGCAGGAGTTGAAAACTCGGTTCCTGCTCGGGCAGCCGGAGCGGGCGGGGAAGGGGCCGCAGTGGCCCCGGGGCTGAGGGAGCGCCTGTCCCCAGCCGGCCCGGGACATCCCTGCTCCAGGGGGTCCAGACTCGCCAGCGGAACCATCCCCGCTTCTTTCGGCCGGTGACAGGTCAGGCCCGCCCCCCGCCGCCGGCACCGCCCAGCGTAGCGGGGTCCTCAGAGGCGGGACCGGTGGGCGGGAAGGTACCGGGAGAGGCGGGGCCGGCGCAGGGGCAGGCAGCAGCGATGGCGGTGCGGCGAGGACCGGAACCGGGACCGGGTCCGGGACCGGGGCTGGCGCTGCCGTTCCTGCTGCTGCTGGCGGCGACGGCGGCGCGAGCGGGGGACGCGCGGCAGGAGGAGGCGGTGCGGGCGCTGGCGCGGCGCCTGCTCGGTCCCCGGGCCGCCGCCGTGTCGCTGTCGGTGGACCCGGCGCTGGCGGCTGGCGGGCCTGACGCCTACCGGCTGTGGTCGCCTCCCAGCGCCGCCGTGGCCGTCGCCGTAACGGGCTCCAGCGGCGTGGCGGCGGCTGCCGGCCTCTATCGCTACCTGCGAGACTTCTGCGGCTGCCACCTGTCGTGGTCCGGGGCTCAGCTCCGCCTGCCAGACCCGCTGCCGCGGCTGCGGGCCGAGATCCGCGCCGCCGCTCCCGGCAGGTAACGGGGACGCGGGGCCGCGCGCCGCTCACGCCTCGTTAGCGCGGGACAAGGCGCTGTTACATAACGGGGGCGCGGGGGGCGCGGGGGGCTCGAGCGCAGCCTCCGCCGCTCCTGCAGGTACCGGTACTACCAGAACGTCTGCGCCCAGAGCTACTCCTTCGCCTGGTGGGACTGGGGGCGCTGGGAGCGGGAGATCGACTGGATGGCGCTGAGCGGCATCAACCTGGCACCGGCTTTCGCGGGGCAGGAGGCGGTCTGGCAGCGGGTGAGCACCGGGGCCGAGGGGCGGCGAGGACCGGAACCAACAGGGTGGCGGTGGCGGGACCTCTGGAACCGGGAGCCGTGGGAGCGGCTGACCCCCGGCGCCCGGCGCAGGTTTACCGTAACCTGGGGCTGAACCAGTCGGAGATCGACAAGTACTTCACGGGCCCCGCGTTCCTGGCCTGGAATAGGATGGGGAACCTCCGCCGCTGGGCCGGGCCGCTGCCTCCCGCCTGGCACTTCAAGCAGCTCTACCTGCAGGTACCGGGGGCAGCCCCGCCCGCCCGGGGCAAACCCCTTTCACCCCCTGGTCCTCCTGGCCGAGGCTGCCCTCACACAGCCTCGGGGAGCCCTCCACCCCGACCCGAGCTGCAGCAGTGTCCGGGGTTCCCTCGCGGGAATGTGGGGGCTTCTCTTCTTCTGCTCCCTCTCTCCTTCTCTCTCCCAGTACCGGATCGTGGAGCGGATGCGCTCGCTGGGGATGACCACGGTGCTGCCGGCCTTCGCGGGCCACGTGCCGCAGGGGATCCTTCGGTAGGAGCAGTCCCTGCCCTGGGGGCTCAGCCCTGGCCGCTTCCCGGGGTCTCAGCTCTGGCAGCACCTCCCGCTGCGGCTTCCCTGGGAGGCTGCCCTGTCCCCGCACAGGCACAGTTGTCCTGCCCGGTTCTTCTCCTGATCCCCATCTCTGCCCTCCGGTACAGGGTCTTCCCACGCGTGAATGCCACTCGCTTGGGGCACTGGAGCCACTTCGACTGCACCTACTCATGCATCTACCTGCTGGACCCAGAGGACCGCATGTTCCAGGTGATCGGGACCCTCTTCCTGAAGGAGCTGATCAAGGAGTTTGGCACAGACCATGTCTATAGCGCAGATACCTTCAACGAGATGACCCCCCTCTCCTCTGACCCTGCCTATCTCTCCAGAGTCAGCAATGCCGTTTTCAGGTCGATGACAGGAGGTTGGTCAGTGTGTGGTCCAGATGGGATAACAGGGGCTGGGAGAGATGGTGCTGGGCCCCATGCAAGTGCAGAACCCATTGGTGCCAGATCCCCAGAACCCCCATGAGGGGTGGTTGGTGGCCCTAGAGCCTCATGAGACACCTGTGGGCCCTGTCTGAAGAGAATCTCACTCAGTGCTCTTCTGTCCCCAGCTGACCCCAAGGCGCTGTGGCTGATGCAGGGCTGGCTCTTCCAGCATCAGCCTGACTTCTGGCAGCCAGCACAGGTGCGGGCTCTGCTGCATGGAGTGCCCCTTGGCAGGATGATTGTTCTCGATCTCTTTGCTGAGTCCAAGCCCGTCTACCAGTGGACAGAATCCTTCTATGGGCAGCCCTTCATCTGGTGCATGTTGCACAACTTCGGGGGCAACCACGGTCTCTTTGGCACTGTGGAGGCCATCAACCACGGCCCCTTTGCAGCTCGACGCTTCCCCAACTCCACCATGGTGGGCACGGGGCTGGTGCC